CCACGGGAAGATCCAGCCATCACAGTATCAAGCGATGATCGGATCATCACCAACTCCTGGGACGGCGGGATGGCTGGTGGCTCCACCCCAATGTCTTCCTTACCATCAAAGGGGATGTCCACCACCAGGAATCCAAAGCTCGCCCATGGCTGCTCTACCTTCGGCCTGGCCGCAGCTCCTCCGGCCCTCTCTTGCTCTGATTAGGTGGGCAAACCGTGCGCGGCGGGATGTGGCCCTGGCTGATGAGATGCGGCCTTCCTGACGGGACATTGCATGGCTAACGGGACTTGGCCTAGACGAGGCCCACCACTACCACAACTTGGGCATAGGAAACGAGGCACAACCACACGCAAATGACCCTTTGCCTTCCTAGGCAGGGTTTAGAGGGGCCCTCCGACGGAATCTCCATCGAGGAGAGGCTAGCGGGTCACCCGAGTCGATTGAACGGCTCAAGCGGCTGTCAAGAGACAGGTAAGGAGCAGTGGGATGCCCCATGCGGGTTATGCCGACTCCATCATGAACGATGGACCCAGATTCCACTCGGACATATCCGATAGGAGCTCCCCGAACCCATCACTCAAGCCATCGAGGTAACTTTACCAACCCCCATTTTACTTTTCTAGTACATAAGCATTCATTCTCGTGCATGCATTCATACATCCAAATCATTGCATATGCAATCATTGCATTGAAATGCTTCATGTCGCGTTAGGAAGCAATAGTCGTCTTATTTGATATGAGCGGCAACCGACCGGGGTTCGAAGGCTAGCCTACGAAGGGCTTGAGGCTGGCTCACGTCAAACAGAGCCAGGGGAGAATACAGATGAGCCCTAGTGACCCTCGCCCGACCCGCTCAAGAGCGGACAGGGTCATCTTAACCTTCTCGTTCGATCCTGATCTCGAGCCGTTCCCACAGAATCTCCATCGAGGGGAGGCCATCGGGCCACCTGAGTTGCTCTTCGGAATAACTCGGGCATCTACCAGGAGAAGTGGAGTGCCACATGAGGGCTATGCCGACCCTGTCATAAACAATGGAGTCGGATACCACTCGGACATGCCCGTTAGCGAGCTCACCGAAGTTGGCCACTTGAGCCATCGAGGCAAGTGGCGTCAACTTAACCCCTCTAATTGTAGAAACCATGGATGGGGTGACGCAGGAAATCATGCGACTGGCCCAGACTAGCCCCTAGTGGCTCAGGGGTTCGTGCCGCCAGATCCTGACTCAGGAACCTGACCAACCGCATAGGTTGTAGTCAGAACAAACACGGGCGAACACCCCGACCGAAAGAGACACAAGAGTCCGTAGCCCCAAAAAAGAGTACCAAGGAGCTCAGCCTCCGACCGACTCCCCAGTCGGCCATAGGCTCGGGGGCTATACCCACCGGGTACGCTCGCTCACACCCTGCGGAAAACAGATTACCAGCGAGTCTCCTCCTCAGGGGCTGGGTGCCTATGTCTACACGGTGTGATTCCGTGGCCTTCATCAGTCCCCTTCTCTGGGGCTGGGTGCCAATATCCGTCTGGTGCGCCTTCGTGGCCTTCACCAATCCTCCCCACGGAGGCTAGGCGCCTATATCCACTCTACGCGCCTCCGCGGCCTTTGCTAGTCCTCCACATGGAGGCTGGGTGGCTAAATCCTACTCGGTTACCCTACGTAGTACAACAAACCAAGGGAGAAAACACCGAAGTTCCAATAACAGCCCAACTCCACAGCACAATGGGCACAGGAATTACAAAGGAAATGCAAGGTTTCATTAAGCTAAAAACACAAACCCCTAGCTTTTACAATATCACGCAAAACGTGTGTGAACAGCCCCTTCACGGCTTCACAGAAGCCCCAAAGGGGCTCGGGGGCTCTTGTCGGGTTCATAAACCCAGGGTCCCCAATGGACCGCTTCCCTACAAAACTCAGCCCAGCAGGCGGCGCAGCGACAGCACACGCCTGGGCCGGCCCAGATACACAATGACAGGCTAAGACCACGATCCGGTCCTCGACCGACACCTCCGTCCAGGAGATCTAGTGGGAGCCCCGACCGAAAGGCCTGGCCGTGGTGGGACCACAGTCCGACTCCGACCCCTTTCTTCGACCAAGGATACCTCGGACCTCTGCTCGCTGCTCTTTCCCACCGACACAGTCGGGGCCGACTGGGAATGACCGACCGGGGACACCCACTCAGTGTGGGCCCAGGGAGCAAGTGGAGCAGATAAGGTAAGGCGCTCAAGTCAAATGCAATACCGAGTACCATACCCTGCCATGCCCTGTGCACTTGTAGGATGGTGCCATCGGGGCATGTCAGATGGACACTGTACAGCCGGCCAGACGCGTCAGAGCATAAATAGTATTGTGGGCGCCATCATTTGTCGTACCAGGCGAACACTGTACAGCATGCCAGACGCGTCAGGGCATAAACAGTATTATGGGTGCCGTCGTTTGTCGTACCAGGCGAACACTGTGCAGCTTGCCAGATACAACGGAGCACGAATAATAAGGTGGGCGATGGCGGCATAAATAGTATGGTGGGCGACGACGGCCATCCCGTACCCGATGGCGTAGGCAACAAGACTAGGTAGCGCCTGAATACACTCTCTCTCTCTTTCTCTCTGACTTGTAAGGCCATCCCCTTCAACTATAAAAGGGGATACACTCTCTCCTAAAATACGATGACCCGAGAACTCGATGACTTGACAACTCGATGACTCGACAGCTATACAGTCTACACGCTCTCAATAGATGATAAGCTCTGACACACATAGCATATGCTCCAATACTTAGCATACGTTTGAGCCATCGTCACTCTCTTTCACTCGGACTAGAGTCCGACCAGGCCTTTTACACCCCACTTCATTCCTCACTCGTTTGTAACCCCACAGCAAACTTCAAGCACCTGGGCTCAGAAATAAAGTCACCAACCAACCTCAGCTGGACGTAGGGCCCATTGCCTGAACCAGTATAAATCTTGTGCCATTGAGTGCTAGGCCACATCCAATCACAACGCACGACAAAACTATAAATATTTACTTGTTGGCCATATTTCGCACCGACAATATGATAGCAAAGTGTAAAACTTTTCTTTATGAAAACATTTGGTGAGAGTTATAAATAAAAACTACGATCGCAGCGTAAAAGGAATCGTCTCTTAGCCCACCAGAAGGTATCCACACTCTAGCATCCATTTGTTACCTGCAGCAGGGGGAGACTAAAACCCTAAGTACTCGAGTATACTCAGCAAGACTTACCTGACAGAAGAAAAATAAAATAACTCCAAGGATATGCAAGGCTTATTTGGTTTGCTGGTTTGTTGAACTTCTAGGAAGCACTACTAATAGTGCATCCTTATATTCAAAGTTTTAGCAGTCATGATTAGTTTATTAGCTAACCATTCTAGGTAAACACATATACTACTTTCAAGTATATGGTAAGCAATCAAAATCATTTTAAGTCCCTCATCCATGTTCCACTTCTTACTGCGATGCTAGACAGTAGTCAAGCAGGTACCGTCTCAAAAAGAAACATCAATTCGCGACCGACGACTCCCAGTTCGGTACTCTCAGCACACGCCTTGTCTGAACCCAAAAGCACAGACAAGACTAGCCCTTCCCAAGCCTATCATAGGCTCCAGAGTCCCGACCCAAACTTGGACTCCAAGTACCAACATTGCGGCCTTTGTGGCTAGATGGCGCTCTTGGAACTCCACCTCTCCATGCCTCCATACAAGTTGGCCTAGAAGGAGCCAGAACCCATGACAAGTAAGGTACGTAAGTCTTCCCGCCCCACAAAGCAAGTATGTGAGAGGGACATTCGAAACCTGACAGATGATCTAGGTAATGAACAGTCCTTAATTGACATAGGCGGAAAACAGTGCACCTAGAACAAGGCCTTGATGCACGAGGACCCGCTCTGTTGCACCTACCAATGTCCACAATATCCACAATACTTACAACATCCAATTTTCCATGTTTCCCTCTCGGTACCGATTATTATCCACCTTGAATCCATGTGATAGTAATATGATAGTAATATATATTCCTATCTCTCGCGAGTGACAGACAATCACTCGACTCCTACCGGAGTCCTATATCTACACGATCCTATCATACTAGTAAGACTCATAGGATAAGAAATTTATATGCATGTGGGTTACATTTAACTCCTCAAAACTTAATGCACAAACAAACATAATATAAGTGCTGAAAAGTAGGGGTTGTGCACCTAGACTTGCCTGGGCAAAAAACATCATATAAAGTTAGTTCCATCTTTAGGATCCGTCCACCAATACATCATCTTCTGAATCGGCTCCAATGTCACGTACACGTGCTCATCATCTAGCACACCTAAATGAGATGCAACAATGCAAATGTATGAATATAAAGAAGGGCAACACCTAATGCATCACATAAAGCATGCGAGAGCCAAATAAATCTATAGATCGTTATTTTCTGTAAATACATGGCCATATTAAGTGTTCATTTCACACAACGACATCATACAAAGGCAGCAGAACCATATTTTCTATTTTTACATACTTTTGTTATTTATAAACCATTTAACGAACGTCAAACAAGTTAAATCAATAACTCAATCATACATGCAATTGGATTAACATATGAATTTTACCCAAAAAAAAGCATAGCCACACATCTACATCAAAAACTTCCTACTAAAACCTGTCACTTTATATGTTTTCTGCCTATGTCTACTTAGGTGGAGCTCAGCAAAACTGGATTTGCCATTTTATTATTTTTCTACAAATTACTACAGATTTCTAAAGTTTCTACCAGATTATGTGCATAAAAGAAAAGCAAGCAGAATAAGGAAAAATACTTTCTCAACTAGGCCCCTGAACATTTCCGGATCTGATCAGAACTATTCATATGAGTCTATGACATCACATCTGGACCCACGAAAGAGTTTCTAATTCTTTTTCTTCCCTTCTCATTCTTCCTCTCGGACACAGAGCAGGGGACGGACGGTGGCCGCTCGATTCCGGCCGGTGCAGGAGATGGCTAGGCGCGCATGCACCAGGGAATGGGCGCAGCTCGGCCTGAGGCGGACCAAAGCGCTCTGGCCTCGTGCGCTCGCGGCATTGGCGGCGGTGCTGTGGGGCACGGAAGCCGGCGAGGGCTACCTGCGCGGCACCGAGAGGCCACGGCGCGCCCGCGATGAGGAAGGGGGGGGGGCAAGGCGGGATCGTGGAAAGGCCAGGCTGCGGCAGCTCGCGCGCATGGCCATGGCGTCCGTGTTCCGCGGTCTGAGGCATGGCTTTGGAGGGAGAGATCACGGGCGAGGACGGGACAGCAAAAGGCGTCTCGTTTTCCCGCTGGTCGGGGCAGGCGCGAGCAGGACACGGCAGCAGGGCAGCGAACAGCAGACGCGGGCGACAGCGTGGGCGCAGCACAGCGGCAGCGGCAAGGACACGAGCGGGGCGGACGCACAGGCATGGCAGCACGGGCGCCCTGGCGCGGAGGAACAATGCGAGCGACAAGAGCGTAAGATTGAGATTTGACAGAGGATCGCTTGAACAGGGAGGCAGGGGCCGTCCCCGCAGCAAATTCATTTAGGGTGCGTTTGTTTGCTGGCTAACTTCTAGCAAAATCTAGGCAGTTTTAGTCTGCTCCTATCAAGTCAATCTCTGGTTATTTAGTTGTTTATACTTTCTAAATCTGGCTAGTCTCAGAGTATGTTTGATTGTCTAGTTTGCTTTTAATATAATCACCTTTTCTATGAATCGGTAAGGCTAGCCTTTGAGGCATTTTGGCGAACAAGTCACATTCCTTGTTTTGCAATTCAGTTCAAGAGAGATCGATGCAGTGCTGTACAAACTGAAAGACCAATGCTGTACAAATTACTGAAACATCTTCCTTTCTGAAAGTTCAGCCTGGGAAACTCAATGGTAGTATACTGATGGTCGCTAACAAAACTGTAGCTGGTATAACACATTCAGAAAAAAATGGAGGGGGGGGGGGGGTTGAAAACTTCTGAATCCTTTATCATACAGCAGAGGGATTGTCACGTTACAAGATGCTTGCAAGGGTCTTGGACACCATCATCTCATCTCATATCTTACTCCTGTACCTGACCAGCTTCGCCAGCGTCTCCTGAGCAGCCAACGTCTGGGCATGGCCGTGGCCGAGCATGACGGTCCGGATGCTGATGCAAGTCCAGCACAGCTCCTCACCGGTGTCGAACAGCCCGCCGCAGAGCAGCAGCTTCGTCCTCGTCTCCAGCAGCGTCGCCTTGAGCAGCGTCACCTCCTGCCAGACGAACTCGTCGACGCGGTGGTTCGGCTGCAGCTTCTTCCTCCAGCACAGCGACTCACGGTTCCAGTCCTGCATCCGCGTTCTCCACCTCCGCTCGAATCGGTGGCGTCGTCAGCTCGAATCGCATCAGGAGCTCGAATGCCCGTGGCCCCCCATCGGGGCGGAGCACGCGGACTCCTCCATCTCCTCGCTCACCTCCGCTCTCGTCCGGCCGCAGCAACGCGCATCCACGCCGTCGAAGCCGCCGGCCCACGCCTCCGCGCAGGATTCGGGTGGGGTCCAGCGGCCTCTTCCTCCGGTGTCCAGCGCTGCTTCGCCATCCTCCGGTGCAGCGGCCTCCCCAGTCCCCCCGACGCCGCCGCGCAGCATCTCGAGGCCGGCGAGATCTGCCGCCGCGCACCTCAGGCCGCCGCACCACCCATCGTTGCCCGTAAGCATCCGCACGCTGCAATGGTGGACGACGGCGTGATGGAGAAGGGCATCCGCGCGCTGCAGGGTTGACGCCTGGCGTTGCGGGCGGTGAGGAACAGGACGGAAGGTGAGGGGAACGAGCACGGGGGCTGGCTCGGGCCTGCCTCCAGGACAACGACTGATTCGGGCGTTTAATCTGATCAGCCTAAAGGGTTACGGATAGCGACCATCCAACCAAACAAACACACCCTTAATATCTACTCCTTCCGTCCTAAATTGTAAGACGTTTAATTTTTTTGGCTCTAAGTTTGACCACTCGTCTTATTTAAAAAATTTATGCAAATATAGTCAAATTTAAGTCATTCTTAAAGAATTTTTATTAATAAACCAAACCACGACGAAAGAAGTGATATTTTACACAAATTTTTGAATAAGACGAGTGGTCAAACTTGGTGTTAAAAAAATCAAACGTCTTACAATTTAGGATGGATTGAGTACTAGATAAATGCCTATGGCCTTGTTTAGATAATGATTGGGAATCAATATTTGACACTGTAGCACTTTCGTTTGTATTTGATAATTATTGTCCAATCATGGTCTAATTAGACTCAAAAGATTCGTCTCGTAATTTACAATCAAACTATGTAATTAGTTATTTTTTTATCTATATTTAATAATTCATACATGTGTCCAAAGATTTGATGTGATGGAGAGAGAGTGAAAAAACTTGGAATCTAAACAAGGCCTATATGTTGCACGAAAAAAATATTTTCATAATAATGTAATGTGAAATTTTAAAATACTTGGAAAAAAGCAGAACCATCCATTTGATAAATGGGACGAGGATAAAATAAAAAGAACTAATATAGAAAAACTTAAGTTATGGATGGAAACATAAAATATATGAGTCCGGAGCTTGAAATTATTTACAAAATAAATTTAAAGTAGAGAATAGTACTTTCGGACCATGTTTTCTTGTGCGAGCTCTGTCTCCTTCACGCGAACCCGCCGCTTCGAACCTAGGTGCTCCCACGTATGCGTGCCTTAAGAATCATTATCAAAGATAAAATATTTAAGCTTCAAAAATATGATAAACTATTTAGAAAAATACCAAAAATAACAATTCAGTTGATGTTACAAAGTATAGGTGAACACAAAAATTAAAGTGAGATTTAATCGAATATTTAGAATTTTATTATTTTTTATTTTCTCCTTGGACCTATATTGTAAAGTGAGATTTAATTGAATATTAAGAATTTTATTATTTTTTATTTTCTCCTTGGACCTATATTGAATATAATATCTCCTCATCCCTGTAACTGTCAAAGATTTTTTATTTTGCCCTTTTATTTTTTTATGTATTTTCTTTCCTACTTTACTTTTCCTCCTATTTCTCTCTCCTCTAATCCTTATCTTCTCCATCAGGCAACGGACGCACGCGACACGCCACCACTGTTCGTCGAGAAAATTGCAAATGTAGGACTACGACTCCAAATATCGTCTTCTCAAAAATAACTCATGAAACATTGGCTTCTCGATTTCCATGACATTTGGTGTATTAAGACTCTTTTCTCACCTAAATACATGTATTTGTTTCCTAAAGTGACCCTTTTACCCTTCGGTCATTTAGATGGTGATTTGGAAGCCTCCAGCGTTGGCTGTGCTTGGGCTGGCCGCCTACCGCCAACGGCAGGCTGGCTGGGCGCCGCCGGCTGGCTGGCTGGCCACCGCCTTGGCTGGCTTGCCTGGATTAACGTTCCTCACGAATATGTAGCAGGTTCAAAATGATTTGATATATGTTTCACAAGTTTCACTTCATGGGGATGCACTGAAAACAATATCATTGGACACAATTGATGATCGAGTTCTGAACCTGAAATGCAGTTGCAGGTTTCAGTTCAGACTCGGTCACCATAAAATGCACAGGTTCATATATAATAAAAATTAACCAAAATGACCCATATGCAATAACAAATCCACGATTTTAGCATAAACAAGTTCATCTCAAGAAACCATAAATTTGTTCTAATCGAGCTCCATTGCATATCAATTAAAGCATGAGTTTACATGAACGAGGGATCGGGCAGATGGAACGTCGAGAAGATGAAACGATCAATGATACGTAAGACCACAAGGGTAAAAGGGTCACTTTGGGGAACAAATACATGTATTTAGATGAGAAAAGAGTCTTAATACACCAAATGTCATGGAAATCAAGAAGCCAACGTTTCAAGGGTTATATTTATGAAGACAATGTTTGGAGTCCTATATTTGCGAAGCGCATTGCTTAGAGTCCTAAATCTGCGATTTTCTCCTGTTCGTCTTCCTCATCCTTATCTTCTCCACCAACCAATGGACGCACGCACTCCTCATCTCCCTCACCTGCGACTCGTCTTGGCGTGCCCACATCCGTGCGCAAGGAGGATGCACAGAGGAGGCGAGCGCCCGCGCCGGTGACGCCCACACTCATGCTTCGATGGGGCGTTCCGTTGCTAGTCGTGCTTGCGCTCCGACGCAGCTCGCCGTCGCAACCTCCAAGTGGTCGCCTCGCCACAAGTGGCCGCCGGTAGAGAATCTCTACCAAACAGCCCCTTCCTGTGGTCCTCATCCCCACTCTCCCTCTCCTGTCTCCCTCCCTCTCTCTCAATCCCTTGCCCCTCCTGCACTCTCAGCCGTGTCCCCTTTGCTGAAGATGGAGCTCGAAACAGGCCGCGTCATCACCTTCGTCCTCACCACTCGAGATCTACGCCGCTGTCGTTCGAGCTCGACATGAGGAGCTCCGTTGTCCTAAGCACGGGCAGATCCACCGCTGCTGCCCGAATTCCTCTTTTTCAATATGCGCGTGATATGTGTTCATCTGGCGGATCCTTTCCCGTAAAGGATTGCCAATGCGATTGTTTTGGATTGGAAAAAGTCTGCTTAACCCCGTCAACTATCGGTGGTGGTCTACTTCACCCCCTCAACTATAAAACTAGGTATTCTATCCCTCAAACTATTGAAAACCGTCTAAATAACCTCTTAATAACCTCTTGAGGTGGTTTTGCTGACGTGACATATTAAAAATCTATATAACCCTCTAACATATCAAGTGTTATTGTATGACCCCTTCAACTATAAAACATGATATTATAGTTCGTAAAACATCAAATAATATTCAAATGACTCACCGAATGGTCTTTAGTGTCATTTGGATACCGTATCCGCCACATTGGTCTAAACATACATGCTTGCACGCAGGACATTTGCTGCCTCTACCTCCATACTCTTTCTAGACTAACCCACCGCCCAGTGAGTAGCATGTGACATCTTGTCTCCTTCTCCACCTCTGATCACTCGTTGATGGCATTGAGCTCAAGCATGCCACACTTACATTGTCATTGTTTAGACCCTCCCAAATTCTCCATCTGGTCGTCCTCTAATTCTTTAGGTAGCCATATAGGCGGAAAAAGCAAGAGGGGTGAGGATGTGGGAGGAGCTAGATGACAAGGGCGCAATTGTAGTGCGTGTGCTCAATGCCATCGAGGAGTACATGAGGTCGAGTAGGAAAGAAGGTGGTGCGCATTGGGCGGTAGCACAAGCATGGAAAGAGTTTAGAGAGGGAGGCAGTCGATGGGCCTATGTACAAGCATGTGTGCTTAAGCCATTGTGGTGGAATACGGTGTCCAAATGACCCTACATGACCATCATTTGAACATTTTTAGATGCTTTAAGGGCTATAATATCATATTTTATATTTGAGGGGGTCATGCAGTCAACCCTTTCATATGTTAGGGGGTTATATAGACTTTTTAATATGCCACATCACCAAAACCACCTTCAAAACCGCCTTAGGGGGTTATTTAGATGGTTTTCAATAGTTTGAGGGGTAGAATCTCTGGTTTTATAGGCGAGGAGGTGAAGTAGACAACCACACATAGTTGAGGGGGTTAAGTAGACTTTTTGCTTTTGGATTCGGAAACGGAGTCGCCGTTCGCCTGGACGTGGTTTGCAAGCGGGGTCGGGTGGGGTCAGTGCTCAGCGGGGTTAGCAGATGATAAGCTTAGTTATTTTTTAGTTGTAGAAGATATAAATATTTGAATTTATAGAAAAAATACCAATTTTCACTTTTTTATTAAAATATTATGATTTTGGTTATAAATAGTGTAAATTTTTTTAAAAGTTGTTGAAACATATAATTATATATATTATCATATTAAAAAATGCGATCACATTTGTCCGGCCCTCCTCAATCAAAATTGCTGGTTCCGCCACTGTGCTCATTCTAAGCTCGTTGGCGGTGAGGTTTGGAAAGGGTGGAGGAGCTATCGTTACTCCTCTCGGGGTGGCTCTGCTCTTGGTGCAACTTGAGCTATTCTGTCGTGAGGACTCGAATGATATGTTATCTCGGGTTCGTCCTCTGTTCCTCCTACATAGAATCCAACCTCCCTTTGTATATCGAGGTAGGTCGGGTATATGGCGGTTTGGAGAGTCTAGTCTATGATCTATGTGTGCCAAAGTTCGGCGTTGCAGCGTGTAGGATCTTTGGTACGCCTAGAGGGGGGTGAATAGACTTATAAAAATTCAACTCAAATTCACCCACGGCACTGCCGCTCTATGAGTGCGGCACTGCCGCACCTATAGGAGAGATTAGTTCATAGTTCAAAATCTTCCCAACGAAATTTAGATCGGGTAAATTTCTTAGCTTCCTACAGAGTAGTACATCACAGATCGACAGCTGAAAGTGGTGGGAACACCACACACAAGTAGATCAGCCTCAATCCTAGAAATTACCTCAACAACAACAAGAACATAAGTGTAGCAACACAAGCACAAGACGACACAAGGATTTATCCCATTGTTCAGCTCGCCACCAAGGCTTGCCTAAGTCCACGTTGTTGAGGTATACCACTAAGATGTTAGGGCTGTGCAACCCTATCTCGTTCTCAAGTCAAGATGAGGGGTGATTTTACTTGCTGCAAGAGGTGGTTACAAACCTCTTAGGGCTACCACACAAGTTGACAAGCTCCATGGGCGACGCTCTAGCCGGCTAGGAGCCAAGCTCTAAGAGTAACAAACACAACCGCCGGCTAAAACGTGAACCAAGTGCTCTT